GTGTGTCTGTATATATATATGTATGTATGTATGTATATATATATATATATATCTATATATAGGAATATATATTTATATATATATATGTATATACGTATATATACATATATATATATATATATATATATGTATGTACATATTCATGTTTATAAATGATAAATAATATATTCTAACGAGCCATATTGATACACAATGCAACAGAGTAATGGTTGTGGATGATACGCCTGACCCAGAAATGGAAGTTGTGTATACGTGGGCTGAGGGACAGTTGGCACGTGCAGGTATCCGATTCGATGTATTGCGGCCGGAAGTTTCAGGGACAGAGGTGAGTGTAGCTACCTGGCGATGCGTGTGCTCAAACATACATATATTTAACTATACATGTCTTTCTTTTGGGCATATTGCTTGATATATATGTATTCTTATGCCCAATGTGTGTGTGCCTTAGATTGTGTCGCTTGATGTCTCGTGCGTCTTCTGTCACTACCGATTGAGAGAGAAAGGAATTGGCCGATCTATACCTCTGATGCGACATTGTCAGTAGTAGCTTAGTTGCAACAGAGTTTATCGCTCACTGTATATATGGTTATATGCGTACTAGTATATATATGTGAATAGTTGATATTTCATTTATTTTTGTGATAGCTATATATATATATGTATATATATAATGACGTCTGCATTAGTTTATTTGTATGCACATGATATGACTATTCCACATTCTTTCCATTGCTCATTCCAGTTCCGTACATAGACCCTAGCTACGCTTTCCCGTCTTATCACGGTCCGCAGTGACATATTTCCATATTTCACGCAAACGCTTACGTTAACTCAATACGTACTCGCGCAGCGCATGTATGCCGCCGAGAAACGCAATCTTCTGATCTCTGCAACGCGAACGCAATGGCTGATGCTCATGGATGACGATGACATAGCATTGCCTAATATGGTAAGCCTGCTTCTCGCAGAGGCCTACAGATCGGGGGCAGATCTCGTCTCAGGGTTCTGCAACAACTTCAAGGTATGCTCTGCCACACCTGATCTATATTTAGAATATATTGACAGCCCTTTTGTACTGATATAGCATGTTGCGGTAGACTGGTACGTATTGTCGTCCTTGCACATACGTATGGATAGATAACTCATGCATTCCGTATCTACCCCATGTATCTATACCAGACGTACCAAGACTACGGTCTGAAGAAGGACCTGTACGTAGCACTCGCCGCAGGGTATGCACAGGGAGGGTCCTTCTTTGTGCACAATACCGGAAAGGCTACCATGCTGATAAAGCGGGACGTGGCCGAGCGCGCCGGGGGATGTACGATGGACAATGTATGTACGTGCCCCTTCAGGCGCCTGTCATATGCATGGAACAAACGTTGGCTTGTGCGTGCATTTGTATTTGTTTGGTTTTTATCCTCTCCGAGGTGGAAAGCCTGGTGTGTATGTGTAGGTAGAGATTTTCTGGTGTGTATGTGTGTAGTTAAAGATTGTCTGGTTTGTATGTATGTGTGTAGGTAGGGTTTGTCTGGTGTGTATGTGTGTTGGTAGAGTTTGTCTGGTGTGCAAGTGTGTAGGTAAAGATTGGCCATCTGTATATAAGTGGAGTAACGAGACTAGTGCTCGCACACTAGTTAGAAATAGAGGGGATGTACGCTGAGGAGTAGGGACTTGGCCCCATTCAGGTGTCGTAAATAACCAATTGTATTAGTTTTATTCTCAAGATCAGTATATGTATAAACTCTCACGTACGGGAGACTACCATACGCGAATGCATGGCATTCCATGCATGTTTGCTGCATATTGGTAAATAAGCTCACTATCTCTATTGTATGTGCTTGTTTTTCAATCCTTTACGTACGACTCTTTGTAAGTCTACAGTGTATCGATTGGGGTACATGCCTAGCCAAGGGTGGTTGTATTGACTATGGTATATGGTTTGTATTTGCAATATAAAGTAGCCATGGGGTAGTTAAAAACTATATAAAGACATAAGGGCCAAAGATAGTAGTTGTATGGATGAAGTTATATGGTTTAGAACATGTTAATCCGAATACGTGCTTGGAGCGAGGCTAATCCTATTAGCGTCACATTACACCAGCAGAAGTCTCCAGCCCAACTAACACCATATGACCACCAGCTAAGTATACATCCAAGATACTATACCATCATCGACTTCTAAACGTCCCAACATGCTGTATGTTCTGTTTGCTTTGTACCACATTTACAGACGGGCGAGCAATCGCCGTACGTTGACTGGGATCTGTACACAAACATAGGACTCGCCGGTTATAAGATCTCCTTTGTTCCGACCGCCGTGTATCGCTACCGCGAACGCTCAAAGTATGTACAATTTGGCATGCATACATTGGTACATCTATGTGTACTTTTGTACGTACTTACGAATGCATTTATATTCTTGCCATGTAGTTAGGCTTGCATGCTTTCTCGAATTGCCGCGTAGTGCGTCAGGGAGCAGTAATACTTTATATAGCAAAACCCAACTAATCATTCTTCCTCCATCATGTGAAGTATCGATGCTATCAACCCATTGTTCTCAATATACACGCAGACACGTGGAGATATATAGATGTAGATGTTTGTATCTTCATGTACATATGTATATATATCTACATCAATCCTTTTCTACAAATATATTTGTCTATATGTATTATATTTATATATATATATATATAGATAATATATTTGTAGCCATCCGATAACTAAACATTGTCCACTCCAACAATTTACTATGATCCGTTTTCACCAACAGGAATAGTATATACTACAGCATAGATGCCGAGGGCAGGTGGCTGGGACACCGAAAAATGGTTATGTCTTGGTGTAGGAAATTGCAATTGACTCTTGAGGAGTGCGATGTGCTTGAATTTAGCAGAGGTAAACTCGCGAAGCCTTTTGTATTGACTTTCGGAGAGTACGAATAAAAGGCCAAAATATCCACTATTCAATAATACGACGCAAATCTGAGCCCTAAATACTCTTAGCTTAAGAACTACCATGTGTTGTAGAGTGGATCTTTTTTTTTGCAGACACAACACTCACATGTATATATATTTATGTACTTAAATATATATATATATATATCGGATATATTTTGATGTATATTTAGAGAGAGTGATATATGTATATATATATATATATATGTGTGTGTGTGTGTGTGTGTATCTGACTCGCATGTGAGGCGAATCTCATATGTCGGGCGCAAATATCCGGCTCTAAACAATATATGAATAAAGTGTATCAGCCGTCAATTGGACAACGCTTCCGATTGTATATATATAATTATTCAATACCACTCACAATTAAGTTGTGCTCACAGTCCATCTGCTGCAACAAGTTATCCAACAAGTTTCAACCTTCTGTCTCTTCTGCGTATGTGCGCCCTGTATCGAAAAACCGCCTCAATCCGTTAAAATTGGCTCTGAACTCCTCCGTCTCCAAAGTTCTACTCTGTTCATACTCCATCTGGCCTTCGTCCACAGCAGACATTTCTGCTACTAGCTTTGAGTTAATAACACATACCTCACCCATGTATTCAGGCTTGCTCCCGTTATTCTCTCGGCCAAGGTAATATGCAGCCAAATCCACAAGCACTCACAAACGAAAAGTGTAAAAATAAATAAATAGGTATATATATATATGCGAGTGTGTGTGTGCGTATATATACGCATATAAATATATGCATATATATATATACATATGTATAATGTGTGTATATATATATGTATATATGTATATATGTATATATATATATATATATATATTTATATATATATATATATATAATACGTTACTATATACATATATATATATATTAGTATATATATGTATATATGTATATATACATTATATGTATTGTGTGTGTGTGTGTGTAGATGTATATATATTAATATATGTGTGTGTGTGTGCGTGTATTTATAGATATAGATATATATATATATAGATATATATAGATATATATATATATAAATATTTATATTTATATATATGTATGTATATACATATAAATTTAATATATATATATATAAATATATATATATATATAAATGTAATATATATATATATATATATGTGTGTGTGTGTATGTATGCTTGCGTGCGTGTGTGTCTATTCATCTATGTAAATGCGCGAATATAGAGAGATTTCCATTTTTAGTCGTGAAATAAGTCAACCTTCCCCTGTACTTCGATCCCTCCCCACGAACGGAAATATCACATGCTACAGCGCAAGTACGCAGAGGGCAGGTGGTTGGGAAAACGCCAAATGATTAGTGTAGCGAGATGGGGTTCACCCTTAAGGCCTTGGGCATTCATTCTTGAAAGGCAAACTAGGTAGCATTTGACCTAGTGCAGAAACTATGAATATCTATAACCAATAAAAACCTAAAATCTGCTGCTGTCTCACCGTCAAAACTGCCATGCGTTGCTTTGGAAGTTCACACTACACAGTACACTCTCCACACTCTCCCATAGTCTTCTCTATTCCAAAAATAATGAAAACAAAGTAGACAAAACAATCCACACAAGAAGTTGAAAGTTGTGAATGTGAGTTGGACTTCTTTAAGAAAAAATGTCTGTGAGTTGTCTCAGTTGTGAGTTGTAAACTTGTAACTTGTGACTGAGAGATGTGATGTGTGAGTCGTGACTCGTGATAAGTTGTGATACAAGAGTTGTAACTGTGAGTTGTGACGCAAATTTTTACTGTGACGCAGATTTTTACTGTGACGCTCCTTTCATCACTCTGTGACCTGTGTGACTGTAAACTGTAAAGTGTAAACAGTATAAATGAGAGCTCACTGGAGAGATACTTTACTTCGTATGTAGAAAAACGAGGGATTTTTTTAAATCAGATCCAGTCGGTTGCTCTCATCAACTCTTGTCAGTGATGTCACGGAACAGAAAACAAGATGGAAAGATGCGGAGCAGGCCACATGGGCGGCTGGGCCCTCTTTCTCTTTTATGGAGGCCTTGCCCCGCCTGTCTCGGCCCAAACGGGTTGGGCCCGGGTGTCTAGGCCCCTTTGGCCTGTGGGCTGAGGGCCTACTCTACTAGTAGAGGGCGCTGTTGTGACCGAAACCTGAGGACTGGGAGAGGGCTTCAACTTGAGCGTTGAGGGCTTGAGGCGGACCACACTGGCGCACTTTCGCCGTCACCGCAGGAGTATCGCGTAGCGCGTGGCTGCCTGCGACTGCGGTATATATAAAAGATAAAATACTGGCATGGCCCATTGGTGATTGGTTTAAAGAAAAATTTAACATATTCGTTTTTGAAACAAAAACAATTATAATATTTACATATGTAATGTCATAACTCATAACATAGCCGCCTTCAAATAAATATACAGAAGGCATGTTTATAGAAGGCTATGGTCTAATTCTAGTTTACAGTGATTTACACCGAGTCTCATAGACTCGTAAATAGTTGAGACTTGGAGTCTTGCTTGTAGTGTGTGAGTGTGTGGACAGTGGAGTGGAGAGGCCGAGAGTATGTTGAATTTAGATTTTTTTTTTGTTGAGAGAGGAATCAGAGGATTCGAGGATTCAAACACATACATCTAATTATAAATATATTTTTTTCATAGCGTTCTAAAATATACATTTTTTTTTTAATATTTAAAAGAAAGTATAGTGAAAGTCGGTGACGTTACGGTTAAATACGAAAACGAGTTGACGACCGCCAACGACGAGAACACATTCGCACATGCAAAATAAATAAATACAAAAAATGGAGACCAGTCACCAGAGCCACTGAACCAGACCTATTTATTTATTTATTTAAAAAAATACACTTCTGCACTTGCACTTCAATGCAGTCTGCAGTCTGCGGTCACTTCTGCACAACATTGAACGTACGATTACACGAACCACAGCTAACCTTTAGGCCAATAAGAAGGCTATTTATCTTAGCGAAGCGAAATAGATTGATTGTGTCAGTAGTAAGAGTAAAACGACAACAACAAAAATACAACACACAAAATACAGACAAAAGCAAGTTTGAAATTGACAGGTTGACGTGCAAGATTTTTTTTAAAGCTTCATCCAGATTTCCTTAGCACAAATATCAAAATCAAAACAAAAAAGTGTTCAATTTTCTAATAAACGACAAATCCAGACTATATCTCTTTTTCTTTTTTTTAAAGCTGCACACAGATTTTTTATAATTCATAGTCTGTACAAATATCAATTTAAAAAATGTGTTCTGTTTTCATACATAAACGACAACCCCATAGAACAATTTTTACAGTGAAGATATCTCCTCGCATTGATAATAGGTAAACAGGATCATATCTGAAATGTAAAATCTCAAATTTGGACTCTCTTGGTCCTTGGAGTTTGGACTCTCGTGGAGTTTGAACTTTGAACTTTGAACTAAAAACTGTAGAGTAGAGTACTAAAAGAGTGACAAATATTGTAGGTAAATATAGTGTTGGACTTGGCACTCGGCAGCCTGACAGCGCTGACACTGCTGAGTCATGAGTGCTGCCTGTTGCTTTTTTTAAAAGGCCCAAGGAGTCCAGAACTCCAGGAGTCTAGGACTAGACCTCAAATTTATAACTTAGAGGGCTGTGCCAACAGTCAGTTGCGAGTTATATTAATGTATGCCTTATATTTTGGATACATTTTGACTATGGCAGTAGGCAGACTGCCAAGGTTGCTCCCAAATCTGAACCTTGGACTGGACTTTAGGAGCACTGGACCTCTGGCGGTCTGACCCCTCTCTGGTGCAATCTCTCTCCCTACTGTAGTAGTAGTCCCTACTCTAGTCACTCTGGACTCCTGGAGTCTCGGAGTCTGGTATTTGTATAAATATTTATATATAAAAAGTCTCAAGAGGCACGATTTCAGGGCTCAGGAGTGAGGGGTCAGGTCACAGGAGACCACATCAGTATTTATTCAGAAATCAGTAAATACTCGGGAATTCACAAGTTGTCGCTACATATGTTTTGTTCAATTTTATTTATAAAAAGGCTACTTGTTTTTGTTTTTTGTTTTTTTTAAATAATAGAAAACAAAAACAAACCAAACCAAACCAAAACAAACAAACCAAATGATTTTTGTTTTCTGTGTTTGTTTTTGTTGTTTTTTTTAAACAAAAACAAAAAGAGAACACAGACAACAAATGTAAATATAATATTTACATTGTTCTATTTTCAGAGAAGGCTATGTATGACTTGGGATGAAAATCATGAAAATCATGAAATTCATGGGGATTTTGAACTCAAATGTATTTACAACAGAACTTTGCGTATACAGCACACGGAGTATTTTACTATTTGCACGCCTCACAGGCTGAGGCCTGAGAGTCTGATGAGTCTCTGAGACCGGCTGACCACTTCCACCAGCCAGCCACAGGCGGGTCCAGTCACCAGTCACCGCCACTGTGTATTTATCTAAAAAAAAATATCTCGATACATAATTTAGCCCCTCACAGGCTCAACTCTCAGGTCAAGAGCCAAATATCTTATCGAACACAAAAAAAAACAGATCAGTATCTGCGGACTGCGAGAAATGTTATAATATGATCTATAAATTGAATAGCGTACGACAGAACCAAGCGTCGCATCAACTCACAACCTTCATGCAAACGGTTGCTGCATCCATATCTATAATTAGACACGCAGATTGATCTCTTCTCTGGACAGCATGGTGACCAAAAATACAAACACGTACGCAGAAGCCTATACGGGCATCGAGTCTCATACAGAACCTGCACAAGTGTACCAACAAATGCAGTACATATCACAGAGATCGAAGACCAAATCGTACTTGTACGAGCTCAACGCGGTTTCAGATATCACCAAGTACTTCGATCTGCCAGTGATCAAAGAGCATGTAACCGGTACTGTCAAGACGCACCTAGCAACAAAAGTTCAAGAGACTATCATGCCCGAGGAGTACTATGCGAGGTGTTTTATAACCTCTCACTTGTCTATGATGAGTAGTGTGGTTGGGTTGCTTTTGGGACACTATGTGCTGTGCACAATGAGTCTTGGAGTATGGTTGACATCAATTAACTACTGGTGGAGGCCTACGGTGGGCCTTGCCAGAACTCTGGACATGCTGATTGTGCAGGGTGCTCTGTGGACGCATCTGTACTATTCCCAGTACATGACTGAGTATGCGGGCGTATATTATCTCACGATGGCTGCTGCCATATTCTGCTATTTCAAGGCTTCACAACACGGCAATGTTGGGGATTTCGATAATGACACAAAGTTCCACTGCTTCATGCATTTCCTGGGCAATTTGAGCAACTGTATACTCTACCTCGGTTTGTGCGTCACTGCTTAAAGGCTGGTATAGTTGGCTGATATCAACGGAATAACACGAGTGAGTACCAGTAGGGAGTATATTTATATATATATATATATATATATATATAATCACAACTTCTTGGCGAGTTAAGTAC